AGCACACAACGCAGCTCCCACTGGCCAGGTCTGTTCCAGGGCCACCTTGTCGCCTGTGTTGAGTCTGAGCTTTGAGGGGCAGCCTCACCACCACCTCGCGAGCTTTATGCAGAGGTGGTATGGGAGGGTCTAGGGCTCAGCCTCGCGTTCACAAAAATGCTCTACCTGCCTCTGGCTGTGCCCTAAGAGACTATAGCACAAGCTTTAAAAGATAGCAGGTTCCCTCCAGAATGCCCAATACCTATTCTATACCTACCTAGAAGTAGGTTAGAATTAGAGTTAAATCAGTGGTAGAATAATGCACGTTCTGCAATTTGACATCTCAGAGATATTCCAAAGGCAATCCAGGTGTATTTTGGTAGAAATTTTGGTTTCCTGCATGCCATATTGCATAAATCAGTAACTCCCAAACGGAGAAAAAAATGGAGAGTTTGACATTGCAATAACTTTTAATACTGTCAGTCTGGGTTTTCTTGAGGAAGAACTATATTGCTTTTCACACCACTGATGGAGTGCCTCACAGTTTTAGAGCCACACTTTCCTAAAACACAGACTCTACCATTGCATCTCGAGAATGTTTCAGCCCCATCAGGGAGCAATATGCACTTCATGCCTCACTCCCTAATCCTTGGCTCTGCAATTCCCACTTTCCACACCTCTGGTCAAAAAGTGATGATCACCCTGATAGAGGAGAGACTGGATGGAGCCAGGCCAGTGAGGAATGCACGACCTCAAGTAGTCACTGGCCCTAAAGTAGTGAATATATGTTGGAGTCTTAGAAAACAGCAGCACACTGCTTTCATGTATTTGAGATTGGATAGATGTAAGCTCTGAAATGACCAAACTTTTGTTTTGACTTCCACAGTCTTCCATTACTATAAACCTGTTGTATTTCTGTCATATATCACAGTGAGAGATTTATTTTGCGCTCTGGACTCCTTTGCTTATGACTTCTCGGGAAGAATCTGTCAATAGATAATCAATATTTCTGGTAATGAGTACTTGCCTTTTAAGATGTTCTGTCTGTTCTCAAGAAGATCATTATGATGACTTTGGCAGATTATCATATAAAAATTCCCACAAACGTTAGAATATTAATTTACATGGCTCTGGCAGGTGGAAGGGGAGGAAGAAGGCAGGAATTAAGTTGATCCTGTTGGCCGCAGGATACCTAAATTAAATATGTCATCCAGATAATCCTCTGCGAAATAAGTGTGTCATTCATTTATATTTCATTATTTGTGACGCTTATGGAGCGATTCTAGTGCTGAAAATCCAGCAGTGCAAAGCATAAAAAAAAATTTATATTGCATTCTATGTTCATACAATGAATGCTTTCTATTTAAGGGGAAAATTGAAAAAATGATCACAATCCGGTGTTTCATAATCAAAAACTTGTGAGTTTTTTTTCATGGGATGCTTTTGCATCTTTCAGGCCAAATTCTGAATTTATAATAGGTTGATGAGAATTAAACAAGGTATGATTTAAATCACCAGATTAAGCAAGGGTACCACAACAGCAGGTCCCATTATTGATAATATTTAAAAGTTTACTTGATATGTTTGAGATTTTTTTAACAAAGCAGCAACAGTAAAGGTCTCCTTGCAATGGAAAGCTTTTCTAAATGCACAGTTTTCTCAGTGCACAGTTTTAGCAGTGGATCAGATATAAACTATTTGTGTGACCTTATAATTCATTTAGAAGATAACTGGAAATTCAACAGTTCTCTTTCAACAAGTGTTATCTACAGATTCTATTCTAGGTACACAAATACATGCAAGATCAAACCAGAGATATAAGATCAGTTCATTTTAAAATGGCACTGCTTGTGGAAACCATGTAAGTGAATTTGTGATCACCATAACTAGCACTGCAAAGCAGAGCAGTATCTATTTCCTCTTTTTCTGCCTTTCTGACCTGAAGTGTCCATGTCCATCATAAAGCTTTCTTAGTAATTTTTCATTCTTTCGTTTGGTTATTTGGGTGGAATTCATCTAACTAAGAATCTAAAAGCAAGGTGCTTACATTGCCTCCATAATCAGCAAGAGAGACACATTTCCAGGTGGACATCTGCCTTAAGATGGCATCCTAAATAATTTGTCTACTGCAGGTTCGTGTTACGTAGCATTTTGACAGAGTTAAAGCTATCTGAGATGACTCAGATAGTTATAGTTTAAATGTCGTTGCCAAACCTAGTTTTATATTTGTGACTGGTATAATCCTCCTGTTCTTAGCCTTTTCCTCTTGCCCCTGAAGTCTAATACAAGGAAAACTGTACCACAGAATGGTAGAATCCAGGTTACCTGAAAGAAGCTTTGTTTGCCTCTTATCCTCTAAATTCCTGGAATATTCTTAATTTCTTGTTTTCCCGAAATTAAGCACTTTTAGGTTATAGTTTTTCTGACCTATGTTAAATACTTGCTTTAGAATGAGAAGAATTGGGTGATAGGTGTTACTTTTTTTTTTTTTTTCATTTGCCATAAGTGAACATAAAGAGTGACTATCTCAGTTGCAGAAGTCTATCAGTTGGGTTTCTTCTGACTATAGTGGAATGTGTATGGACAGTTTTGGAGGAGGAGGAGGAGGAAGGGAGGATTCCCTGCTCTATCTCTCTTCCTCATCTCCAGCCAAGTCAGCTGCCAATGTGGTTCTTTGAGGTGTGCTGTCCACATAAATTTTTATTCTTCCACTGATTCAATGCCAAACATGTAAGGAATTTGCATTGGAAGAAGTGGAGTAGTGACAGAAGTTTGTCCCTTGTTTGGGGTCAGAGGGACAGGCTATTTGCATGTGCATTTCCAGAGTTAAGAAGGATCTAACCTCTCATGCATGGCTCAGATGTGCATAATCTGTGAACTAGTGTAAGCAACACATCTCAAAGAACCACAGTTACTATTTTTCCAAATAAAATAAATCACGTAGTGACTAACAGTCCAAAAATGAGATCTAATTTGAAAATTCCTTCACTAGGTGTGTTGAAGAAATGAACTTGTTAATATTTTAAACCCATTGTTAGATGCATTTTTACACAAGTGGCTCTTGTATTATTCTCTCTGGACTTTCTGCCTGCTTTGCTTTATTTTGTTTGCTTCTTCCTTTTTTCTTCTTCTGTTCCCATTTGTTTCATATTGCTAGGAACTACTTCAAGCAATCCCAACTTTTGTCATTTCTTTTATGAAATTTAAGGTAAGGGTAAAATGCTACAGACTAATAGCTCGCAATGGACCTTTTGTGCTTGTCATCCGTTTTATCCTGTCTTTAGGTTTTGGATGTTTTAGTATACATAGGTTTGTCAGCCTTATGTTACTCTTTCTAAAAGATCAAGTAGATGAATCTAAGCATGAATCTAAGTCTACCATTTTACACCAGCCTAATGCTTAATTTTGTAAATAATTCTGTAGAAATATTATAGAAAAACAAATGAACTATAATGAATGTCAATGATTTCGTTTTGTTAAATGTAGATATAAATACAAGAAAATAGCCTTAGATTATAGATATGTTTCTGCTCATCTAATCTTAGATGGATATTTTTGTATGTCTTTAGACTTGCAGAGTAGTTTCTAGTTTATATATATAATTGTATGTGACGTATGTGGATTTTGTGTTTGAAGGAAAGAGCATTCATGTGTAATTACATGACATGCTCTGCCATTTTTATTCACATAAATTATAATGAATTTTTAAAGATATACTTTTTTAACCATCTTGGACATTTAGATACTTATAATTTTCTAGTATGAACTGAGAAAAGTTCAGAAGTTTAACAGATAGAGTTTTTATATTTGACATTAACTTTCAGAGATGAAACTAGAGGACTGCAGATGTAAGTATATTAGGAAGAGAATAACAGTTGTCACTACAGTCAGTTAAATGTGTTTATAGTTTGATGCGATCTGATTAATTACCATTATTTCACACTAGTTGTTTTTTTTTTTTTTAATTAAGTAAGAGGTTATTTTCAACTAAGTGTAATCACTGGTTCATCTCATATTATGTATATCTAACTAATGATGTGTGTTGAAATGGAGATTAATACACATAACTGAGTTATTCCCATAGTCTCCACTCCATTCAAGCAAAAGTTTGGGAAACTTATTGTAAAAACTCAGTAGCCTTGCACAGCCCCCGTAAATCTCTTCTTGAGTTAGTGAAGAAGTGAAGAGGTAAAATCTGTCAATTACTTTGTTTTGATGGCAATTCAAATCTAGAGGAAGTATGCTCCTTGAGAATATATGTAATGTAAAGACTTTCTCCTTCTGCTCTCATAAGGAGCAAGTAATTCAAAGATAATATTGTCACCTCCAACATCTTTGTACCACCAAAGAGTTCCGCAATGTAAGAGGAATTTGCTGAGCAGGAACTGCCAAAATGACTCCCTGAGCCCTTCTAGTAATTCAGTATCTGCTTTTAAAGATAGAAGTTAATAGCTCATTCTGCCAAGATTATGCTTGGCTCAGCATTCACAGTACATCTGTGATACTGTTATCTGTAAATGTATTTCAGTGCTGACAGTAACGTATACACATAAGCCAGAGATTCCAAGAGGGATTGCCTCATTAATTAAATTCATATTTAAACATTTTTAAAAGGGCCCTGATTTTATGGGTACAATACATCTCAGAAAAACAGAGAGCATTTTTTTTTGGATTTAGATGCTTAAGCTTGAAAATTCTATCCTGCCTGTGCTTGAAAATTTGAACGATTTTTCAATTACATTTTAGAGCACCTAACTAAGTACTGCTTTTCCAACTAAGTACTGCTTTTCCAGCCCACAATTAAATTTCTCATGAAACACAGATGTATATTTTTAGATCTGCAAACACTAAAGTATTCTTTACTCTGTTAATTTTCAAATTTACTTTGGCAGATCAATTAAAAAATAACGTTTTGACTTTGAGTCTTAGTCAAAAACTTTCTATGTTAATTTAAACAGTACCCTCTTCTTATTATATGGAACGCATAAACACTTTTCTGTAATTACATTCTTTCATGTTCTTTGGCTGTTGAGTGCTCCAGTTCTGTTGTTCATCTCTATAAGTCAATGAATATTCATAGCATGATATCAGGATAAGCTAATACTGTAAAATGCTATTTGGAGGCATCACAGAGGTAACAAGTCATAATGGCTTAGAGAAATTAAAAGAAACATGATCACAGATCAAAGATCCTCTGAGAAAAACACCTTTTATTCTCCTAGATAACTTTTCATTGATGGCTAACGTTCTGATCAGTGTGCTACTTGTGATTTGCAGCCTTTAGAAAATAATTTACCTATTTGGGAAAATACCCTTTTGATATATATATATATATAGAGAGAGAGATATATATATATTTTTTTTACTATGAGTGCAGATCACTAAGCCTAGTGAATGTCTCTTTTAAAAAATGGTAGCTTATCAATGGGATGATTATAGCAGGTCCCTTGATGTCTAAGAAAGTGAATCGTTCATTTCTGTTCTCAAAACTGAGACTGCAAAATGATTTTTGTACCAACCGTGGACCACAAAAACAACTTTTTATGTAACAAGTGATACACTGAAATGGAAAGCTGGAAACTGTAAAAGTTAATAAAGAGATAAAACATCTATCATGTTTTTTTAGAATTTTGCAGTGTCTTTAACACCATTAATTTAAGCAGATACTGAAACATCTACATCTTTTGCCACTAAACAAAATATGGCAGGCAATTTTTATCTGACTAAATAGCAACCCCACACCCAAAAAAACCCCCAAAAAAAAAAGCAAAAAATAATCCAGAATTATTGCCACCTCTTAACTTTATCTTTTAACTTAATGTCAGAAAAATGACACTTTGGTAACATAAACGTATTCTTGATCCTGATAATACTCTATTTCAAAAAGAATTGTTGTTGTTCAGATCAAGTATGGCCATTATTTGTGGCCCTTATTGCAGAATTTCCTCTTAACATAGCTTAAAATTGCAAAATGCCTACTTCACTCAAATTTCTATATGAAGTATTGTGGCCACAGAGGCTTTCACAAAGACTTACCTTAAAGATATGATTCTCAGTAATACCAAAATAATCTACAGAGGAATCAGAGTTAGTATTTGATAGAAATCAAGTTATAATGTGAATTAAAAGTAATATGCAAGTAATATACAAAACATTGTGAAGCAGTCATTCCCTCCTTGACTTTAGGAATATGTTACTTAAGGTTTCAATTGCTAAGAGTGCTATAAGACTATCAGTCCATTAACGTGCATAGTTTATTGTTACCTTTATGGCTCTGACTGCTAAATATTAATAAAGATCTCAATAGTCTTATTAAACTTAACACTCCTAATGAACGGAAGGCATTTAATACGGAAGTCCTGTTCTTGATAGCTTAGTAAGTTAAGAACGACTTTGTACGTTTTCCTTCTCACAAGGAAGTAGACCTATTTTTGCTATTTATCTTAAAGAATCTTGGTGTTGTTTCCGTGCATACAGCTAACTATCAAACCAGAATAGCATTACTTTTATTTTCCTTCTATATATCTAAATGGTTTGACAAATTGGAGACACTGGGAGCTTTGGCCTCTTGAGAAGTTATGTGCAGTTAAGGAGATCCGAGCTTTACAAGTAACTGGAACAGGAGCGTGTCTCATATGCCTTTTCCTTTTTCTTGGACACCTACCTTTCGTGAAAAGAGAACTATAGGGGACTTTGGGCTGTTGCAGTGCAGCTGCTCGAATATAACGTTAATCTGGCTGCAACTCTTCAGCTAAGAATTTACCTGGTGGTTTACCAGATACAATACCTGTGGATATTTCTGCAGTCTCTTGTTCAAATTCTGTCCAACCAGCTACCACTATTTTGAGCAGAGGATCTGTAAGAGAGTAAGCAGAAATACGCTGAGTTCCTTTCCTATTGGCAGGCCCTGAGCTGAACTGAAGGGACCACAACCAGCACTTCCAAGCTGTTAAAATGATTAGAGGAAGTTATATCTTACATATTAGAAGCAGTTTTCAAAGAAAGGAACCATAACTGGCTTCCTTCCTAGGTTAGCATCTTGTTTCTTGCAAGTACAATGACTAGCCTTTTTTACATAACGCACGGTCCAGTTTTCCTTGTCTCATGTAATGTTTGAAACTTAATCACTCATTTTAGGTGATTAATTCATATGGTGTGGTATTGCATTTGTTGCCTCTGATAGATCTGATAGTCACTGATTTTTACGGAAATATGGCCTTGCTAGTTTCAAAGAGTAGCTTCTGATTAACAGCCAGCACATATGGTTCATTGACTGGAAATCCAAGACAAATGCTTGTATCCTACTTACAGATTAGCCTGCTTGCAAAGTAGACAGAAGACATTTCTATTGACTGCTAACCTTCTCATATAAGGTGCTCATAGACCTGAGCTTTCGTGTTGGTATTTCTTTACTGTTCACTGCCTGATCAGTGAATCCTGAAGAGAACTTTGCAGCCTTGCAGAGAACTAATGCCATGATAGACTAAAGTGTTAAAGCAAAACTCGGAAACAAATCTGCTGTTCCTCAAAGCCATAAAATGACATGGAAGCAAAAGAAACTCTGAATACATTAGTTTTTTTTTTTCTTTCTCTTTTTTTTTTTTTTTCCCCTCCCTTGCTGAAACTTTCTCTGTCAAAACATTTTGCCAACTTCTGAACTTGGAGCTTGATAACAAGGGTTCTCAAGTCATTTAGAATAAAAATGCATAAGCATGGACCGTAGAGTTGTTACACTTTTTAACTTCAGCAATAATAGTCCAATTAATAAAATGGTGGTAAAAGATGATGAAATCCCTTCTGGTCTCAATTCAGTTACCTTTTAGTGGAAATTCATCTGAATGTATGTGGGAGACAAAAATTATCTGTTGAGATATAATTAAATGACTTTGTGTTGCTAACTTCAGAAGAGAACTGCAAGTAGTAGCTCTGACACTGCAATGACCCAAATAGTCATTGTGTTTTCATACATGTCTAAATGTTAAGTTCACCTCTCATAGCCAGGAAGTGCTTTTCAGTTAGACTGCATGAAGTAATGAAAGAATTTGGCCCAGATAGTTCCATTGACTTTTACTACAACTAATGAACTTGGCTTGCTAGAGAGAGTTTGGTTTCTTAACTAAATCTGATACCTCTATTGATAGGCTGCAATGTTTTTTTTGCGTTTGTGCTAAAACACAGAAGGAAGATAGACTGGTACTGAGAGACCTAAAAGTGTGGGCAGAGCAGTTTGAAAGAGACTTGGCCCGCGCACAAGCAGCAGAGACAAGCTTACAGGAGAAATACCAGGTAAGCAATCAGGAAAACTTTGTATGAAAAGAGATTATTTCTCTGGTTATGTGTAACATGTGCCGTATAATTTTATGCAGCCTGCATGTGCAGTTTAACATGCTGTAGTTTAAAGAAATAAGGATAGAAGTTCTATTGCCCTTCACTGGTGGAGGAATTATAATGTCAGCTCAAGCTTTGCTACTTAGAACTGTGCACAGATGGTTTGCCTAACACAGATCTTTTTCTAGCAGTGTGAAGAAGGGCTGTCCTAGTTAGAAGTGAGCATGTGTCTATACAACCTTTCCAGATCCTGCACGATATAGCTCAGATGGTGAGGTATGACTGAAGGCTAGATGAGGTGACAGGTGGAGAGGACAGGGCTTAGAGGTTCGTTTTTAACCCATCTCTCAAAGGTGAATGTCTAAACCAGTAATAGACATATGAACCTAAATTTTCTCTTGAAGCTTGGCTGCTCTAAAAGCATCCCCCATCCATCCCAAGCAGTGTGTAGCCTGTTTGCTACTTTATCTGACTGACAGGAAATTTGGAATTCCTATCTATATATTTTCCTGGAGTCCTACTTACATTCTCTAGAGGGTATTAGAACCTTTAATAAAATCCAGTTCAAGGAAGGCTTTAAACATCCAAATTTACTGCTATTCTTTGGGAAGGATTAGGGTTTTCTTTATCAGTATAAATTTGTAATATAGGTGGCAGTGCACGACAAAGGTTGTACAATTTCTTTGACTCCGTGCTTTATTGATTTGATTTTATCTTTGTGCAGTCATTTAAACATTTCAGAGTCCAATATGAGGTAAAAAGGAGACAGATTGAACTTGTCACTCAGTCATTACGGAAAGATGGTAAATTATCACTTGATCAAGCTATGCTGAAGCAAGCTTGGGACAGAGTTTCTTCCAGGGTAAGTGGAAAAGTAGCATGCTATATATTTTGTATTAAATGCAGGACAACAGTTTTGAAGTGATTTAGGAACCTGTTTGCTATTTAATTTATTAGGCATTAGGAACCTAAATATGGACCAAGTCTCTGGCAGTGTTGAATTATATTCTGTTTATTTTAAGAATATTTACTGTACTGTCACTTTTAATAGTTGCTCAAGCAAAGATAGAATACAATCTTTAAGATACAGATCATACTTGGAGGTTTGCCTTTATCTGAATATGTATTAGCAGTATTGAGCTAAATTCAAAACATTGTTGATATTAAAAAAAAAAAAAAAGTACCGTTCCCCCTCAAACTGCAATGTTTTAATGTAACTTCCTAAAGCTGCTTGCAAAATGCTAGTATACCATTTTTTAATTAACAAAAAAAAATTTATGTGTAACGAATACTAAATGCTTTAGCAATAAATAAAGCTCTAATGACATTTTTGGCCTGAACTTGCAATAATAATAAATGAATATCAGTATTTAGAACAGTAATTTTGTAATAATTGAGTGAAAAATTCCAAGTGAGTTATACTGGTCATCCCAAATAAGAAGTAATTAAATCATTATTACTCAATGTATCATCATGGATTTCCCCATATATATATGTATCTCTCTCTATATATATCTCTCTCAGAGGAGCTATTTGTAAAGTGTATATTTTCATTATTTTTCACTTCCATAACTGGGATTGGCAATCAGACAAGGTACTTTACTGCTATACTCTCAACTTCAGTCCTTTGAGACTCATCTGCATTTTACACACAGAAAGTATAATTAAAATATAAATAAAAAGGTTTTACGCAAAAGTGTGAAATAAACGACGCTGAACAGAAGGCAGTCTTGTCTGTCTTACTGTGCCTGTTAGCTGATGAAATACCAGATCTTCAGCTTGTCAGTTGTTCCAATTTATATGTGGTCAGTTCTGTAACTCAGTTATTCTTCTGGAAGTGGAATAGATGCATTGCGGAATTCTTATAGAGATTTTGGTGCTTATGAGAATGTTATAATTCCAGAAGTAATGTCAAATGATATAGCCAGGTTTATATCTTAAGCAAACTTTGTTATGCTTTTTTTTTCCTATCTTGCAACATAGAGTCTGGGTTTTTTTTTGTTTTTTTGTTTGTTTTTTTTTTTCCAAGATACTTGTTTGTACAATTAAGCAAGGACAGAAGTTCAGTTCTCTTTACTTTTATTTCCTAGCTACTTGATTGGCACGTACACCTTGATAAATCTCTTCCTGCACCTTTGGGTACCATAGGTGCTTGGCTTTATAGAGCAGAGGCTGCCCTGAGGGAAGAAATAACTGTTCAGCAAGCTCACGAGGAGACAGCGAATATAATACATCGGAAGCTCGAACAACATAAGGTAGATCTAGATGCATTCATTCTAGGCATTATGTTTCATTGTTTCCAAGGTTGTAAATCAGTCATGCTATACAAACAAAGATTATTATTTGTGATTCGAAAGCTAGTTGCCTTCCACTAGCCTAATTTCGGGTAAGGTTTGCCTCATCTTGATAGTAGCTAAAGATTAGGTGTCTTTCTTTCAGCGATAGCTTTAATGATTGTGTCTGTATTTTGTAAGCGGTGTTCGGGATTGCTTTTGATTTTCTCTGCTGCTCCTCTCTGAAATATATCAGGTAGTAATATGTTAATTGCTCCCTTATTCTAGGACCTCTGTTGGATAAGGTTCCATATGGGGCTAGTAAGTTGGGTACATAGTTTAACCAGTAAGAACTTGTTAGGTGAAATGCAGGGGAGGGAGTAAGAAAGGGGAAGAGATAGGAAGAGAGAGGGAGAGAGAAGAGACTTAAGTGCGTTTATATGCAGTACAGTTGACTGTATAGCCAAGACTGGGGGAAAATAGAATGAAGTGAATTTTCATAGTATTGCAATGACAAATAGCACAAAAAGTCCACTCTGCCTGTGGTAAACAGGAGACTTTCCCAGGTGAATTTTAATGCCTTTGCTGTTATTCTTTGCTGAATCTAAGTTCTCATTTAAAACCAAACTGTGAGATTTGTTTATGCATTTACATAATATATATGAGAAAGGTATAGACAGAAATTGTTGGAGAGATGACAGAAGAAAATGAGACAGAAAATATAAAGGAAGAAAAGATGGTGTAGAGAAAGGTTGGACTTGTGGCAGTAAGACTATTTTTTTTTATATTGTCTCTCTGTCAGTATTGTTTTAAAACTTGATTGTAGTATTCTTGTTTTGGGGTTTGGATATGTGTTTTTTACTTTTAAAAAGTCATGCCATATAATGAAAAGCTGAAAAGTTTCATGTTCATCTTGGAATAGTCAGAATGGACAACCAATATTTTGCTGGAAGATCAGTTGAGTCTCTCTCCCAACTATACTTTATGTGCTGAAGTTAAGTGGTAGCTAATAAAAATTTAACCAGAACAATATTCAAAAACTGAGAGTAAGTTAGTGTTGTCTTTAAAGGTCTAGTCTCTCATAATGCTAAGTGTGATTAGTTTTCTTGAAACATCAAGTGTTTCAGGATTTGTAAGATTTGGTACTTGACTACAAAAAGCAAGTCAGATGCTTCTTTGCTCATATAATGTGAACACCATAGACCTTCTTTTAATACATTTGTAAGAAACGGAAAACAGTGTTGACTAAGCTGTATTTTCTTTGCATCTGAAATGCCGTGGTGACTGTGGGATTTCTGCTCCAACAAATAAACTTGGAGTTAGGTTAGTCTGTGCCAGGTTAGTTTTCCCATGGGAATGGAATGGGGAAAGCTGCAACAGAAGCATCTGTAATTACATTAGCTCTTGAAATTTTTTTTTGTCACTCACATTTACACTGATGAACCCTGATGTGCTGCTGGATAGTACCAGCAGTGCATTAGAGTACTTTTTCAATCAATGTTTGGCAGGAAGTTGTTGTTTTTACTGTTTGTTGTGTCAAGATAACTTTGTCACCTTCTCTGTATCTTTGTCTCGTCTGACAATGGGTTATATTAGTGAAATTCATAGCTTATGGCCATTTTGCAGCTAATGCAGATTGTATCAGCTTAATTAGACAAACCTCCAAGGAATTAAGTACACAGCTAAGTTCATTTTAGTTACTATTGCCACCGAGATTGAGAAATTAAGGAAAATATCTTTGCTTTTTCAAACTCATTTTGCAGAGCAAGATTTCACTTAGGGAGTACATTGTATAAAAATTCTCATAAGCTTCCTGTTGGATGTCTAAAACTATTGGGTTTTATTTTGACTTACTTAGGTATGTTAGGGACAGCCTCCTTGTCTGGCAAGGTTGCAAATGCAACTACCTGAGATACTTGTTCCAAGTCTGTCCATTGTGTGAGAGTAAGTTAGTCTCAGGATGTCCTCAGTGAAGTTTTCCCCATGGTAAAACAAGTGCATCGCTTGCAACTGAGAAAGTCTGCTTCAGCATAGACCTTGCTGTGAAGGGAAATGAATCAGAAAACTGAGAAAAGATAGGTGGGTTGATGGGGTTCTTGGGACAATTTGGTAAGCTGAGCCACTAGAATTACTATGCATTTCCTCTGTGCAAGCACTGGATGCTACCTGTGAAGAAGTCCTCCTTCAGCACCTAGAAGTAAACGGACATCTGTGCTCAATATGCTAGTGTGCATTTCCTTGACCCAGGTGAGGAAAGGGGGATTTGTATGATCCCCTGTGTCAAGAGGCTTCTGTGCGCTTTATGCCAGGGGCTGTCTGCGTACAGCCAAATATCCACTGCTGTGTGTCCTTACAGTCCCTGGGGACTTGGCCTGTTACTGGTACAGATATCTCTTCAGAGACTCTTGCCAGTCATTCATTTTAATAAGTAATCTCCAGGAAACCGTTTGAAGCAGTGTTGCTTAGTTACAGTCAAAATGTGCTCTACTGCTAGGTTTTTGCTGGTACAATTCTTATCACAGGAACGCAGGTTGGATACCATATTCTGCATTCATTCGTGTAATGTATAGAAAGCAATCCTGAAACCCTTTGATGTTGAGAGAGTGAGAAGTTCACTAAATATTGAATATGTACTTACATAAGGAGCTCTGGATCTTCTGCCTTTATGCAAAGAAGTAGATTAGTCGCTGAATATTTGAATCAGTACTTAATAAAGGTTAGTATCTGTTATAAAGACTTATACAGTAAATTTAGCAAGATTATACAGTTGTGATATAGAGTATTTGCAGACTGCATTTCAGGGATTATTTAAATATAGTTAAGAATTCGTGTTTTATTAAACCTCTGCAGTGTATGTGTCCTCTGTTTAAATTAGACACAGCCTTTGCAGAGCATCTCATAAGGGAGTTCCCTGTGTAAATGTTAAAGCTGCTGTGAATGCTTTTATAATAGACATAACCTTGCATGCAAATGTGACAGCATGATCAAATAGTCATTGAGTCATCAGTGCAGCCTTAAAATTGTGCTTATTAGTTAGGTAGCCTACTGTGAGCCTTCTCTCTCTCTCTCTCTTTCTCTCTCTCTCTCTCTCTCTCTCCCCCTATAAATCAAATCAGGATCTGCTGAAAAACGTAGATGGCCACAAAAAGACATTCCATGAGATCCACCGGGCCAGGTCTGTTAACGGAGTGCCTGTTCCATCTGACCAATTAGAGGATATGGCAGAGAGGTAAGGCTTTCGATCTGAAATGAAAATCCTCTGTGAATGAAAGGGAACCTGTTTGCTTTAGAATCTGTTCATGTAGAAATCACTGTCTAATTATGTTTTTCAGTAGCAAGCATGAAAAAAATTTGAATGCTCCCCCCCCACCCCCTCCCTGAATATACATAAAAATATGTTGAAAAGCATGATGCATTAAAGATTGATGAGAGTCAGCATAAGCTATGGGTTTTGAAAAAGAATACTTTTTTACATTGATCCTGTTATTACTTGCCCCTGGACGAATGTTATGTAACAACACTAGGGCTGCATGTGAAAGAAAGAGAAAAATGACTTTGCAAAACTTAGTAACAGATGTAAACTGATGATTTCTGTGAATAAACAGCTATAATTCATTTGCTATTAATGAGCAGGCATCAGAATTATCATCATGCAAAATTAAATATGTTTGTAAACTCTGAAATAGATCAAAGATTAGAAAAATATCTCACCCGTGACTACGGTTTCCAGTCTCTCTGCAAAATGAGTATTGCTGTGTTTTACTACACTATGATTCATTTCCTAGGTTTAATTTTGTTGCCTCTTCATCTGATCTCCATCTGTTGAAAATGGAGTTTCTGGAACTGAAGTACCGTCTACTGTCACTCTTAGTCCTTGCTGAATCAAAGTTAAAATCATGGATTATCAAGTATGGAAGACGGGAGTCAGTAGAACTGCTTCTTCAAAATTATATTGTAAGTTGGGTTTGTCTTCTTTTTATTTTTTATTTTTTCAAATAGTTACATTAAAGATGATTGGAAATGAATAAATAAAAAAGCAGAAACAGAAATGACATTTGCCAGTTAACAAGTTTATGACTGCATTCTTAAGGCATATTTTTTCAGAGATGAACGTGCCTTCCCCATAGAAGAACTTTCGTCAGAAGACTAAATGTGAAAATGATGCTCTTTGCACCATCTCTTCCAAAACAGAAATAATGTCTCAGTTGCTAACTGTCTGACCACCAACTTACTGAAATACACAAATTAAATGCATAGAGAGGGGAGGTTTTTAGGGTGCAGTCCCCCATAGTACAAATAATAAAAAAAAGTCCTCCAACTGAAAGAAAAAGTTATGCTGCATCTGTGTATTTACTGAATATAATATATGGTTACAGGAGTCATTTTATTCTTTTAAGGAATATTTCCCCCCCTCCTGCTCAGTATTAGAATATTAAATTCAGTACTTTATTTCTGTTTTGGAAAGTGATTGTTCCATCTCTGCTTCATCCATATATCACTTTAAGAAACGGAGGCTACTGACTGACAAATGCTCATTGATAATCTCCCTTTTAGTCTTATACTGTTGTATCTTCTTAAATTCATTTTTGCAGTGCCAAATGACTGGCGGAATGGTATGACTACTGCTCTTCTATATTGAAGCATAAGTGGAGGGATGTTTTCAAAAGCAGGGTTGAGCTAAGTATTTTTTCCCCTTCCTTCTAATCCATGTGAGAAAGAAGTGCACAAGGGAATTCAGTATGGAAAGAATTCATGCCCCATTTAGGGCCAAGGCACTGGACAAAGAAAATTGAGACCCCCAGAGACTTGTAGTTCTTATTGCTTTGGAAGCAAACTTTCAAACTCAGTGAAGATCCCCTGCAAAGTGAGAGTTGAAGACCTACTTATGCTTTTCCCTTTCTATGTTTTAACTTAATAGTTAGAGACCCATAAAAATTCAGGCGTTTTAAAGGAGCTCCAATAATAGTTTAAAACAACACCGTTTACTAGAGTGATATGCAATAGCTAGGAGTTACAGTCCATGTGTATGCTCCACAACACTATCTCTAAGAGTACTGAATGACAAGGGAAATAATTGAGGGAGTGGATAGCTTTAATTTTGGCTTATTATTTTATATCATGTTCTTAATGTTCATTTTAAAAGAAAAAGTAAGTGGTGAATCTATATATTATTTTATGACTGCCTCAGTTTTTCCTGTGCTTCAAGCTGTTAATGCTGAGTTGATCATTAGGGGAAAACATGCTTCCTTGGATCATTTGTGAAACTGAATCACATCAAAATGAGGAAACTATGCAAGGACAAGAAGATAAATAGAGCTCAGTTTCACTTTTGGCTCCTTCCAGGCTCCTTCCTTTTGGCTCCTTCCAAGTGGTGGAAAGAGTCTTTATTTGCTTTGGCTTAACTAGCAGCAAGTTTCTAGGAGCAAAAGCAGAGTGTTACTCTTCCAGCAAAAATTCAGTCTTAGGTAGGAAAGCTGTAGTCAGTATCCTAAGTGACTATATTAGTAGGAGATAAAAAGTGAGTTTGTTTTCTCAGTCTGCTTTGGCAGAGAAGCAAATGTTGGTATTCTAGGACCCATTATGCAGTCAGGCTCTGGTTAGAACATATACCTTGAATATATTTATATATTCTAACTTATAAATAAAAGTGATGCCTTCTACTTTATCCCATCTTTTTTTCACTAGCTTGCCATATACCATAAGTAAAGGTCATCATAGATTGTACCATTAACCTGAAGAGTATATGATATCAGACCCTTGGCTGTGATGGAAATATGAGGCCACCTGGATTTTGACCCATACCTGTTCTTTAGCATTGCAGTGTTAACACTTTTTTTTTTTAATGCTATATGCATTTGGGAAAAATGGTATACTTTCTTTAAGGCATCTTGTCAACTGGGAGAATTACTTAGTAAAATGATTGTAGTCTATTTAGTTTTAGAAAATACTTCTAATTGCTCTTGAAATCAGTACTGTATAAGTAGTTTGATACAGTGTCTTAGCTTCTGTTATGAAGTGTTTCTGGTTCAGAGTAAAATGTCTGTATAGGGGGTTGGCAAAAGTGAAAAGTCAGGAGTTTATTGCATAATTCATGGTAAAGCATGCAATTTTTTATACTTTATGAATATATTTTTAGTAACAATGCAGAGAAAAGTTCTGATTGTCCTTGACTTCTAATTTCCATAGTTATAAATACATTTTTGAATTATACAGTAGGTATCTGTGGTGGTTTGATGTCACAACTGTAAAAGACTTTTTTAAATAGGAGATTTTTTTATATATAGTCTAGCTGGTGGATTCATTTTTAAAGCTTTTTTTTCCCATATTTTTTCATGTGGTTTGATGAATACACAAAGTTTATTCTTCTCTGCCAAGCACGTTGAATTTTGGACTCATTTGCAACTCTGTTATACCAAGATGGCACTAGTACACATAGAAGTCTGTCTACTCTGATATTCCAAAGCTTGTGTAGACATACCTGAGATGTACTCATCTCAAATTTGTATGACTGTAACTGGGGAAGTGTGAGCAGTTGCATAAGTTGCAAAAGCATTCCAAAGCTCCATGTAAGTACCTTAAGTAAGACAATTTGAAAGCCCAGCAAAAAAAACATTTTTTTTCTCTCTCTTCAAAGCAGTGGTAGTGCAAGATACTTGCGTAATATAGAGATATAATAATACAGACATTTAATGTAATCAATGTTTCTTTCCGAAACATTACAAAAATAGAGTTGTCAATGCTGTGTAGTAGATAAACTGAAATCTGCCTTTCTGCAAAAGAGCAATTTTTAAAGCTTAAGAGGATTTAAATTTTGTGTAGTGACCTACACAGAGGAAAATTTCTTTTTGTTAAAATGATTCCAGTTTGCTTTCAGTACAGGAATAATTTTTAACTTAGCTGTTTGGTTTATGTGCATTTAAATTATCATGTACTATGAGTTCCAGCAAGGCTAAGCAACTAGCAGACTGCCAAGAAAATAAGCTGAATTTATGAGGGGAGGCTGTGCTCGACCATTAATTTGGAATGGTGAAATTTGGATATTGTTCTAATAAATGAATGGAGGAATGGTGAAGTTTAAGAATATCATTACTGTCCTGATATAATTTAATTTCAGTGAAATTATTGTTATTCTTAATACATATCTTTATGTTCTCATTTGTAATATTTTTTCTTCTTTTCAGTCTGTTATTGAAAACAGTAAATTCTTTGAGCAGTATGAAGTTACATATCAAATCTTGAAGAAAGCAGCTGAAATGTATGCCAAAGCAAATGGCTCAGGTAAATACCAGTGTTTCTGTTGTCATGGGGACACCATTTTAATCTCTTCAGACGTAAACATCCTCTAAAAAGATCTCTTAGTGTCTATTGCATCCCTGCAGTACAGCTGGAAAGCAGCTGTGGTCCACCAGAGGGACTACACCTCCAGTAGTGTAATTTCATGTTACCTCTAGCCTGAGGTTAGCTGGTGCAGAACAGCCTGCCTTCCTGCTGTTAAGCTTTCTTACCTTCCAGAAGAGGGTGGTCATAATCAAACTTCCTACTGGGAAACGTCTACGGTCCCTGCCTACTTCTGAATCATGCCCAGGATTTGGTTCAGAGCGTGTGGAAGATCTGGGCCAAAAGTGGGTAGAGACCAAGTTAGGAGGTGAGAAGGTATTGTTCTGGCTCCTGGGTGTGCTCCCTGACACTGCTTGCTATACTAGAAAGACAGCCAGAGAGTTGGTCCCAGTATTGTTGTGGAGCGAAAGTACCCCCTACTTTATTACAGGTTCTTCATTATCTTTAAAAACTTATAAAAGTGACCCACATGATACGTGAAGTACGGATGGATGTGTGAAAAACGCCTAGCTAATTCAACAGCTGCCTTCTGTAATTCCTGAACAGCGCTGCTGGGTTCAGTGAGAACATGTGAGGGCAATGTTTGACCTAGTTTGTTACAAATATAAGATCATTTTAATATCCAGTGAGATAACAACACAGTAATATCTATGGAGGGTTGCTGTGGCTGATAGAATGGTTAGCAGAGGTGGAGAGAGAATTGATATCTTTTTTTGTTGATGGTGACACTCGACTCAAATTTTATAAAAGTAAACATTTGTGACTAGCTATTCTTACAAAATGTAAAGTTAATAGATTTACCCCATAGTATTAGGAAAAAAAAAATCCAATGTCAAATAATTTTCTAAAGAACAGATATTCATTCATATGAATTCAGAAACAGCAATGCCAATTAAAGACACCCTGGCTAGAAACTAATTTGTTAAAAGGTCAGTATTTTGAATGCTTTACTAAGGAAGTCTCAAGATTTGTTTTGTGTGGGCTTCCCCCCCCCTCCACCCACCCTTTTCTTCTGGAGTGGAGACACACTTGTACCTTTATTGCATTGAGGAAAATATTAAAAAGTAAATGTCAAAACATAGCAGAAGTTTGGTTTTAAACTCAGTATAAGGATTATCAGAATTTCAGTACAATTGAATGCAGCCATAATATGTGTTTGTATATTACACATTTATAATATTCTCTGCTTTTAGGGAAACTTTCTCTTGCTTTTTTCTGCTGCTGATTACACATGAACACCACACTGAATGTGCAGTGTGACCGCATTAATGTTGCGCTCATTTTTATCTGCTTATCCTTAGTCTTTAGAATACAGGTTTAATTTCTCAGCCCTAATTTTGCAGTAAAATTAGGTTATGAACTGAGCATATGTATATAAAAACCTACTGAAATAGATGGAAATACATGGGAATGGATAAGCATAGCATAAAATAAAGCTTTGCAAAAATTAAAATAATGAACATAAACAATCAACATGTCTTTTGTATCTCAGTGGAAGAAGTTGAGAATGTGATGAAATTCATGAACGAAACAACAGCACAATGGAGGAACCTCTCGGTAGAGGTGAGAAGTGTAAGAAGCATGTTGGAAGAGGTAATTGCTAATTGGGACAGATACAGCAGCACTGTTGCAAGTCTACAGGCCTGGCTGGAGGATGCTGAAAAAATGTTGAATCAGCCTGAACAGTCTAAAAAGGTATGGAATAACAGCATCTATTTCTGGCTATTTTGTAAGTTATGAAATATGTGAAGTGTTTTGAGTTTTGCTTTGTTTTACAAAATGTCATAGAAGAGGGTGAGGGCTCAGGGTGAGACTCTTGAGTGGATCACAGGAACACAGGAAGTTCCACCTAAACCTGAGAAAAAACTTCTTCACTGTGAGGGTGACAGAGCATTGGAACAGGTTGCCCAGAGAGGTAGTGGAGTCTCCTTCGCTGGAGATATTCAGAACCCGTCTGGATGCGATCCTGGACAATATGCTCTAGGTGACCCTGCTTGAGCAGGGAGGTTGGACTAGATGATCTCCAGAGGTCCCTTCCAACCTAAATTCTGTGATTCTGTGATTTTGTGATTTATCCATCAAATGGATATCTTTAAATCCTTAATTCCTCAGAATATTTTTCAGTTTCAGGCAGAATGTCTACATTCTTTTTAGGTAGTTCAAGGTTTGTATATATAGTGTGAACAAATATTTTTAAATATACAGGCAAAGAAGGAAAGTGTCATCTGTGAGGACATGGTTAGAGGCATCTTTGACACAAATTCAGGACAGCAGCGTTGCTCACAGGTAGCATTGTTACATACTCCACTCAAAACAAAGGCAAATACAGCTCTTAACACCAAACTGCACGGTCATACGCTATGTGTGAAGACGTTTAAACCAATTATTTTTTCCACTGATGATTTTTTTTACCATACAGATGATGTCTTTCTATATATTAATTGCCTTCACAAGACAACATTGTCTGTATGTGTTGAGTTACATTTGATGGGCAAGTAATTAACACATTTCTCCTGGTGTTTTAGAAGTGTTTCAGAGAGTTTGTTTTGAGGACCAGCAATCATAAAGATTGTTTTGCTGTTGTATTATGTTCTGATATTAGAGTACTGAAGCAGTAAGACTTATGTTTGTGAAACTTCAGTAATGACCCAAATTGACCTGATTAATGATGCAACGTAATAGCTATTACTTTGGGACTAGGTGCCAGTAGACAATTTTCACTTCTGGTTTTCATAGGTCACAAGATGTCAAACTGATACCAGTTCAGGAAAGACCATTGCATGTTACCTGATAGGGCAGTATAATTTGGGGTGTGACATTTGGTAATTTGAATTGATGTAGGAGAATACACTTTTTAAATAAAAATAAACCTATCAAAAGAATTCAATAGTCTGGCATACTATAAATATGAAAAGTTATTATTAGTGAGCAAGAAGGATGGCTCATCTAATACGGTTGGTAATGAAATATTCTTTTATCCTTGTGTATGAATTAAGTAAAAAAGTATATACCTCTCTGATCAATTTTGTAACTTTACCTTTAAACAGATTTTTGGAGCAGCTGTGTGAAAGTGCATCTGACTACTTGCAACCTTTCTGCTGTCTGAACATTTTTAAATAGCCTTGCTGAAAACCTTAGACATGAAAACATTACTATTCCTGAAATGCTAATTTCTTCTTAACATTACATTGTCTCAAAAACTGTTGACATGTTACTAAGACGTAGCAAAATCCACCTCTACACTGAGATACCTATTTTTAAAAGTACTTCTAATATTGAATCTAGAACTCCACAGAAGTAAGATATTTTTGGACAGTTCCAAGGATGATTCTACTGATTTAATGGTTTTAACATTTGGTTATTTTTTTAAAAAAAGTATTTCTTATAATATATTGGTTTGTACAGTTAATAGCTGTATAGATACCAGCTGAAGCAGCTGGACTCCCAAGTGAAATATGGTAACTATTGCATGGAATGTGGCATAAAACTCATTTAAATATTTCCAGTAGTTGTTTTCTAAAGCCACAGATATGTCAGCAGCATGATATAAAAATTTCATTGGTGCTCATTTGCAAACCATGCCCTTAGCTGCATCACTCAAAAGCATTGTATTCTATCCTAGACATAGACCATAATAGCTCCATACTGTGCCATTGTGCTTTCTTCCTCTTTCCATTCATTCATTATCTCAGTATGATTTCAAAACCAGTAAGTGTACTGCTGTTCTATTTGCAAAAGTAAACTGGTCTGTTAGCTTTCTCATTGATTTCTCTGCTTTCAGAAGCCCTATTGTGAAGCTGCAATTGGATTTCTCTCCGTAAAAATGTGAAATTTAACGGCAGAGAAATATATCAGCAAACAAGACAATCACTCTATAGCTCCCTTGTTTACTAGCGGTGCCTCATAAGCACTTCCCATCACAACCTCCCTGTAACCAGGCCATACAGCAGCGCCTTTCCCCAGCAGCTTTATCCGAAGCATATCAGGGTGCTCCTAGTTTTCATATGGAGATAGCTTTAATAAAGTTACGTTGTTTTAATTGATTGGATGATAGGGACTGATGTGTGCTGCCACTGTGCCATCCCAATCTCACCCAAGTTTAGCACATGCTCTAGGCTGGCTCCTGAAGTGGAGACACTTCCCAGTAGGGTCTGAGGAAAGCGATAGTTTGTGGGGATAAGCATGCAGGAACAAGGACTCAAGTAGTTTACTGGGTGTGCTCATTCCTTCTTGACCTCTAGTAAGGCTGAGCAGTGGAGGACAGACTAGCTCCAGGTTGAGTAGTAGTTTGTTTTAGTTGTACTTGCAAACAGTACAGTAGACAGCTATTTTAATTTTCCTTTCAGCGTGCCCGGCAGGAAAACAAGATTATAAGGAAGCATGAATATGATGTATCTGCAGTGCTCTTTGGCATTTCTAGATAGTTCAGCATTGCTGTCTCGAGCACAACAAAAGTCTGTGCTCCACTACAAGTGGAAGAAGATTCAAACGTTTAATCTGCTAAAAGATGAAGCTTACTCACTGGTACATTTGTACAGAGCACCTGTACTCTTTACCTGTCTCAGCTTTAGGAATTTTAGTTACTCAGTTCTCTCCTCCACAGGTTTAAACAGTATATATCCATTTGACATTTTCTTTTTGCCTGTATCAGAAATGTTTGTACGTATGGGCAAGTTCAGACATGTATGAACTGTAAAGTTTCAGAGCTGTAGCTTGGAAACTTGAGACGGCTGACAGTACAGTTGGATTAGGCTTTCTTGCATCTATCCCTGAGCAGAGTATGACTGTCACTGTCAGATGAGCAGTACTGGAATTAATATGTAGATCTATAGCCATAAATAAAATGGGTCAGTGCCCATTCTTTGGTCCTGAGGACAAAGTGGCATGGTTCAGTTTGTGTCCCTGTGGCTACTCTATTTCTTCCTCAGAAGAAGGTGGCCTCATTGATTCAGTCTATTTGGAGCGATACTTGCCCTGTGCTCTCCATCCAACTGTGCGTTTTCTGGAAGAAGGGTGGCTGGCACAAGCCGAAACCATACCAGAGGATGGATCAACAATTAAATGTGGACAGTCGTGGGACAGTGATTGAGTCCTGTTCAGTTTGCTGCTGTAGCCTTAGTGCCTGGAGATACTTGTCTTAGGACCAGTTTGCTGGGCTCTTGGCAAGCAGAAAGGAGGAATGTAGAAGGGAGGCAGTTAGCCTTTGTCTTCACAATTCCTCTGTGCGAACCTTCCTACAAGATGCACACAAGCATTTCACAATGGCTTTGCTGTTTAGGGTGTCTCTCTAGAACGGGGAAAATCAGTGACAGCCATCCATTTCCCTTTACCACTCACCTACTCCGAGATAGGAGGAGCAGCCATGACGCTCCAGTCTGGCCAGGTCTCCTGGAGCATCAGGTGTTGGTAAGCTGCACGTGGTTCACGGAAGGGGAAGGATCTCTATGATCTGTACATGCTCCAGGTTACTATCAGTCCATGCTAAGTCAGTACAAGACAGAAATAAGATGAACCCTAACAATGTTTCCCATTACAGATCAACTCCTTTCTGTTCAGGAGGAGTTCCATTCATTTAACTGAAGCTATTCACTGGAGTAAAATGAGATATGAGTAAAATGGTGAAAATTTTTAATTCAGTAGGTTATGTTCACAGACTTTAAAATCCTGCTCTGGTATACCCAATATGAAGTGTTTCAGAAGATAATTATTCAAAGAGTTTTATCAAGCATCCAATGGTGACTTAATTTTAATGTGGTTTAAGCTAATGACTTTTTGCAAAGGATCAGGAGAGATGGTTTTGTTTTATTCTTCAGGATTTTTTCCGGCATTTACCTCTTTGGATCCAACAGCATACAGCCATGAATGATGCTGGTAATTTTCTAATTGAAACATGTGATGAGACCATTTCCAGAGACCTTAAGCAGCAACTTCTGTTACTAAATGGAAGATGGAGGGAATTGTTTATGCAAGTTAAGCAAGTATGTGTTTTTGTTACTCTTTTAAATAGTTACTTTGCCATTTCTGCAAGCAAGGCTACCTAAGATTTGCCCTGCTAACAGGATTATGGGATGAAGGTGCCTAACTGTTCATAATTATTTGAATTAGAAATCAATTCTTGACAGCAGTCTGTTACTGTTGGCTTTTTTTGCCTTTTTTTTTTTTGATTATATGGAAATTTTTTGACATTTGGAGCTAGCATAACCAGTAGTTCTTTACAGTTGCCTGTCTTAATCCAAAGAATATTAATGCATGTTCTTTACTGTTCTTTTTAAAAAGGATTATTTTAGATAGCTACTTTTAATGTAAGCTCTATCAAGTTAAATAGTGAAAGTGAATATATCGTAATGCTCTTTAATGAAAGTTGCACTCACTAACTGTACTGAAACAGCATATGCAATGCTAATTAATTATCAAAACGTATTCCCCAAAACAGTCTGACTTTACTTTTATCTTGTGTACCAGGAGGGGCACGTAGTAAATGGAAAAACAACCCTTTTCCTCATGAAAGAGGTTCAACTGATTTGAAAAGAAATATTTTTATATGCTCATTAGAAAGCAGAGAGAGGATGTGGATTAAAACTATGCAAAAGTATTTCATATCTCATAAACACATCAGAAAATATTTTTGCTGGTGTCGTATATCTGACAGCATTTTCTTCTGTCAGTGACTTTAAAATAGCAGTTAAGTATTTGAAGATGCTGAACCTTTTTTCTTTACTGACCTGATTATTTCCATTGTAGTCAAGAAGTTACATGGAAAACCAAACAATGATTATCCTTTTTTTTTTTTATTCTAACTTTTCTAAACTATTGATTAGAATATTCTCAAGCTTTATTTGCTGATGTCATTTAGGGTGATTCACTGTGGAAACTGTAATGCCCAGAATATAAATATATCTCTTCCCTTATTAGTGCAGCTTCTTTCACATGCTGTCTTGGCAGCGTTCCTCACCGGTCTTTCGTCATTTCCTTCATACAGCTCCTCTCTGCCTTCTAACACGTCCTGTGTTTATCCTTCCTTCAGCCAGCAGTTCTTTTTCTGACGCTTCCCTTTTCTGTCGGCTTTTCTAGGCTTTCCATGTTCAATTCTCCTTGACGTATTTTCAAAATTAATACTGTAGGTGATGAGAAATGAATTAGGATGTTGATTCTAGATTAGAAAGAAATGGGAGTTTGGGGTTCTCAGAATGGTCTAGACTTCAAAAAATGTTTCACCTTTGTTCTATGAATGAAGTTTAGGGGGTGACATTTTTAGATTTATTTTCAATATCAGTACTATTAAAAATAATGCAGACCTTTAGTTTAGAAGATCAGTTTCCATTATTTTGTATTTTATTCATCACAATTTTTCTAGCAAACAGTTGCTCTGAAGGTATACCAATAGTCTTAAGTAATTATGCAGTTGCCACATTTCTCACTTTGGAGTTTGGTTTTTTTGTTGTTTGTTTGTTTGTTTCATTTTACTTTACATTTACTTAGTATGCTCGGGCAGATGAACTGGACAAAATGAGGAAGGAATACCTGGATGGTGTTGTCCATTTGACAGCTTTTGTTGATGGAAGCAATAGAAAATTTTCAGTGCCTGTAGAAGTGTCCTTTCTAGATGTCAAGACGTTTGTACAAGATTTAGAAGTAAGTTTCTTTCTTGCATTCCTTACTTTCCCATTCATAAGAGAGAAATATTTAACTATTTAATTTGGAGGGTGGAGCATAAGATTATTTTGTATACATTTCCATTATTGCTATTTTTTTAACCAGTGATGTTTTTTAATTTCTGCTATAGCTGATGTAAATAGTTACATCTGTGAGTGACGTTTCTGGAGCACACTTCCAGAACACAATGTCAATGTCCCACTGGATATTTCTTTCTATGTAGTTTCAAATCACATTCAGATGAGCTCACTGGTACCTTTTGGCACAAAATACACACACCCCGACACACATACCTACACACACACGTATGTATACACACGCATATATACTTGTGTATGTATGCATACATGTGTGTTTGTATATATACAGCATATGTAAAATGCATTTGGAGCCTGGTCCAGCCTTCACTAAACTCAACAATGAAAAAAATTGATTATTAGGATATATAACATATATCTTTAAAAATGTTATTGTTGGAAATATTTGTTTCAGAATATTAAACAGAAATTGCCTGTGATGGAAGCTCAGTACAAAATGATTGCAAGGACAGCACAGCTTGTTACAAAGGAAGTTTCCCAAGAAGAAGCAAATGAAATGCTTGCAACTTTGACAAGAATCAAAGAGCAGCTGAGCAAGGTTGCAGAATACCTTTTCTACTACACACCCTTGTTGACTCTTTAACTACTAATTAAAGTTGGGCTTAAGCTGGAAACATATGTAAAAGTGCCCTGTAAGATCCAAACGTAGAGAGCTTAATAAAAAAGTGTCTTTCCTGGGTTAGCTCTGCTGAGGTGGGCTTAATTAGTAAGTTTCCACACCATATATGTGCATTTGAGCAAATATATGGTTATAGTAGCTAT